GCCCCGACCTGGGGGACAGCCCCGACCTGGGGGACAGCCCCGACCTGGGGGACAGCCCCGGCCTTGGGGACAGCCCTGACCTGGGGGACAGCCCCGGCCTTGGGGACAGCCCTGACCTGGGGGACAGCCCCGGCCTGGGGAACAGCCCTGACCTGGGGGACAGCCCCGGCCTGGGGAACAGCCCTGACCTGGGGGACAGCCCGGGACTGCGGGACAGCCCCGGTCTGGGGACAGGGACGGCCTTGGGGACAGCCCTGACCTGGGGGACAGCCCTGACCTGGGGGACAGCCCTGACCTGCGGGACAGCCCCGGCCTGGGGGACAGCCCTGACCTGGGGGACAACCCCGGCCTGGGGACAGCCCTGACCTGGGGGACAGCCCTGACCTGGGGACAGCCCGGGACTGGGGGACAGCCCCGGCCTGGGGGACAGCCCCGACCTGGGGGACAGCCCCGGCCTGCGGGACAGCCCCGACCTGCGGGACAGCCCCGGGGACACCGCGGGGGCCGCTGCACAGCGGGGGAGGGGGGGGGAACATCCCTTTTTTGGGGCGGGGCGGGGCAGTTTTGGGGCTCGCCCCCCGTCCCAGGGGACGCCCACGGGCGGTGCCGGCCCCGGGAGGGGACACCGAGTCCCGTCCCTGTGTCCCGTCCCTGTGTCACCGCCCCGGGCACTGCCGGGGGTGGGGACACCCCCCAGGGTTGGGGGGCACGGGGGGCTGGGGGTGGCCGGGATATGGGGTGGATGGACACGGGGGGCACGGGGAAGCTGGGGGGGACCCCGGCCCTGCCAGGATCCCAACCCCGGGGATGTCGGGGTCACCCTGCACCCCTTCCCAGGGTCACCCTGCACCCCTTCCCAGGGCCTCCTCAGCCCTCAGGGTGGGGATTTTGGGGTGAAAACCCTCTGGTTTAGGCAATTCCTCAGCACTGCCCAGGAGTGGAGACAGTCCCCGAGGGCTGGGGACACGGGGGGTGCTGGGGGAGGAACCCCAGCCTGGCCAGGCATGGGGACACTGGGGATGTTGGGGTCACACCCCCCTCCCCACACCCCTTCCCAGGGCCTCCTCAGCCCTCGGAGTGGGGATTTTGGGGTGAAAACCCCATGGTTTAGGCAATTCCTCAGCACTGCCCAGGGGTGGGGACAGTCCCCGAGGGTTGGGGGGCACGGGGTGACTGGGGGTGCTGTGGGGGAACCCCAGTCTGGAAAGGGTCCCAACCCCGAGGATCTTGGGGTCACCCAACCCCCCTCCCTCCCTCCCTGCACCCCTTCTCAGGGCGGGGATTTTGGGGTGAAAATCCCCCGGTTTAGGCCCTTTCCCGAGGGGTGGGACACTCGCACTGGGGGAACGGGGGCAGAGGGGCCGTGCTGGGGGCACAGGCAGAGCCCCGGGACCCCCCAGGCCCCCCGAGGCGCTGCCCCTTACCCATGACCCGGGCCTGGACGGTGACCCTGACGTGGCCGTGGCCGGGGGTGGCCAAAAGCAGCTCCTCCCTCAGCACCCCCTCCTTGTGCGCCGTGTACTCGCAGTGCACGCTCAGCCCTGGGGACACAGGGGGGGCTGAGACCTTGCTGCCCCTTCCCTGCCCTGCCTGCACTTCCCTGCCCTGCCTGCACCTTCCCTGCCCTGCCTGACCCTTCCCTGCCCTGCCTGCCCCTTCCCTGCCCTGCCTGCACCTTCCCT